GGGGAGGGGAGTGGGGATAGTAGGGGATAGGAAAGGTAGCAGAATACAACAGTCACTTATATGCCATCATGTAAAAATGTGAGTATGTAACAGATGTGATTCTGCAATCTGTATTTGGGGTAAAAAAGGGAGTTCAAAACCCAATTGAGTCAAATGTATGAAAGATGATATATCATGAGCTCTGTAATGTTTTTAACAATCAATAAAAAAAGTCCAAAAAAAAAGAGATAATGACTCACTAAAGAATTTCATAACTACTAAACCAACATTGCAAAAGATGCTTAAAGAAATCCTATACATATAAGTAGATGGTATTAACAACCAAAAAGGATCATGAAAGAATAAATCTTGTTAAAAGACTAGATAAGCAAATACTAATTAGGATTGAATTAGACATTAGAAGTAAATCAAAATGGTAGAGAATAATAAATGCCTTCCTATAATAGCACTGAATGTTAATAATTTCAACTCTTCATTTAAAAGACATAAATTTGAAGATTTGATTTTTTAAAAAGACCAAACTATGTATTCCCTACAAGAAACATAACTCATAAGCAAATACATTAACAGGTTAAAAGTGAGAGGATGAAAAATTATATTCTATGCATATGGAACCCAAAAGCAAACAGTACTTAATTACTCTCATATCTGACAAAATAGACTTCAAGCCAAAATAAATCTGAAGAGACAAATGAAAGTCACTATAAACTTGCAAATGGAATAGTCCAACAAAAAGATATAATGATAATAAAAAATTATGCCCCAAACTTTGAAGTATCTACTTACATAAACCAAACTCTGTTCAACATAAAGGTTCAGATAGATTCCAATATAATAAAATTTGGTAATTTCAATACATCTTTTACCAATAGAAATATCATCAGTTATAAAATGAGCAAGAACTTAAAACATGATAAATCAAATAAAATTAACAGACATCTATAGAGCATTTGATTTAACAATAGCTGAATTTACTTTCTTCTCAGATGCTATTTTGGAACTCTTTTCCAAAATAGTCCACAGTTTAAGCTATAAAACAAGATTTGGCAAATAAAACTGATTGATAACAATCCCTTGAATTTTAACAGATCATAATGGAATGATATTATAAAACAACACAAGAAAAAACTAAAGCATATAAACCCATGAAAATAGATTGAAACACTTTTATATGATGAATGCATCATCAAGGAAGGCATAGAAAAAATTAAAACATTTTTAGAATCATATAAGAATATAAATAGTATATACCAAAACCTCTTTGACACTAGAAAGGCAGTTCTATGAATAGAGTCCATAATAATGAATGCCTATATAAAAAATTCAGAAAGGACTCAAATAACCTACTGATGCAGCTAAAGGTCTTAGAAAACAAGAACAATCAATTGCACAACCAACAACAAGAAGGAAATATAAAAGATCAGAATCAAAATTGATGAAGTAGAAAACAAAAATACAAAGGTGTGGCTCTTTGAAAAGAAAATAATATTTGTAATCTCTTAATGTCATTGAAATCCAGAAAATCGATAGGAACTACATAAAAAAGTGTATTCCAATAAACAGAAAAATTACGAGGAAATGGATAACGTTCTAGACACATATGACCTATCAAAATTGACCCAAGAGGGGGAAAAAACTAAATCAGCCAATAACAAGCAATGTAAATGAAGGAGAAATAAGAAGTCTTCCAGAAAAGAAAAGTTCAGGACCAGATGGATTCCCATCTAAATTCAACCAGATATTTAAAGAAAAATTAAGGCCCATGTTCCTCAAATTATTTCATGAAATAGAAACTGGTGGAACACTCTGTATTTATTCTATGAAACAAGTATAACTCTAATACCCAAACCAGATACAAATATATCAAGGAAAGGAAGCTAGAGACCCATAACCCTGTTAAACATAGGCAGAAAGTCTGTAATAAAATATTGGTAAATCATATTCAGAACGCATTAAAAAGATTGCACATCATGACCAAGTTGGCTTCATTCCAAGGAAACAGGGTGGTTCAACATATGCAAATAAATAAATGTAATTCACCCTAAAATAGAATAGACACAGAGAAAACCTTCAAAACGTTCAGCATCCATTAATGACAAAAACATGTAGAAGCTAGGGATAAAAGGAACTTAAATAACATTATATGGGCTCTATACAACAAGCCCAAAGCTAACATTATAGTGAATTGGGGCCATCTAAAAGCATTTCCTCTAAAATCCGAAAAAGCCAAAGTTATTAATTCTCACCAGTCTTATTCAGTGCAGTAATTAAAATTCTAGCCAGGGAATTTAGGCAAGAAAATGAAATAAAAATGATACAAATAATAAAGGAAAAAGTCAAATATCACAGTTTGCAGATTATACATTTCTATAATTAGAAGATCCTAAAAGCTTCACCAAAAGTCTTCTAGAGCTGGTAAACAAATTCAGTAAACTAATAGGATACAAAATTAACATACAAAAACAAGAATTTTTCTATAATCCAAGAGTGAATTTGCTAAGAAAGAAATAAGAAAAATAATACCTATCATAATAATCTCAAAAATACTAACAATGAATCTAAAAAAAGTGAGAAAAACCTCTTTAGCATATATAGAAAAAAATTGAAGAATACGCTAGAAAATTGAAAGACATCCTGAGTTCATGAATGGACAGAATTAATATTGGTAAAATGGCTATATTACCAAATTGCATTGAATTACCAGATTCAATGCAATTTCCATTAAAGTACCAATGAAATTTTTTACAGAACTAGAAACCTGCTCTTTAGATTCACGTGGAAGAATAATAGACCTAGAATAGTCAACATGACACTGAGCAAAAGGAGCAACACTGGAATCATCATAATACCCAATTCCAAATTGTATATTTCAAATTATAGATATGTAATAACAAAACAATACAGTACAGGAATAAAAACAGAAATACATAACAATGGGATAGAATAGAAGACCAAGAGACAAACCCCAAGTGATACAGTCATCTAATCCTTGACAAAGACATGAAAAAACATATGTTGGAGAAAAGATAGCCTCTTTAACAAGTGGTGCTGAAAAAACTGGATATCCACATGTAAAAGAATGAAACTAGATCCCTATCTTTCTCCCTGCACAAAAGGCAACTCAAAATGGATCAATAACTTACAATTATTAGACCTGAAACATTGCTACTGCTAAAAGAAAACAGGGGCAACATTCCAACACATGCATGCAGGCAATAATTTTCTCATCAAGATTCCTAAAGCTCAGAAAATAATTTTTTAAAAAATAAATAAAGAAAAATGGGATAGAATTAAGTTTAAAAATTTCGGTACAGCAACATGAACATTTACCAACCTTAATAGAGAGCCCACAGATTGAGGGAAAATCTTTGCCATCCATTCTTCCAACATAAGATCTCTATTCACAATATATAAATAATTCATAAAATTTAAAACTAAAACAAAACATACAAATAACCCAATTGATCAATGGGCATGTGAACTAAACAGGCATTTATCAAAAAGAAATACAAATGGCCAAAAATATATGAAAAAAATATGTCAAATATCTTTAGCAATCAAAGGAATGAAAAATAAAAGATGCACTGAGATTTCATCTAACTCAAGTTAGAATGGCCATCATCAAGAATACAAATAACAATTAATGCTAGTAAGAATGTGAGGAAAAGGGAACTTTTACATGTTGTTAGTAGGGATGAAAATCTGTATGAATGTTCTTCAAAAGATGAGAATGGAACCACCACAAGATATAGCTATACCACTCCTTGCTATTCACCCAAAATAATTAAAGTGAGCATACTCTATAAATATATGAATACTCATGTTTATATCAGCACAATTCACAATAGACAAATTATGGTACCAATCTAAATGTCCATCAATTGCAAAATGAATAAAGAAAATGTGATACATACACACAGCCATAAAGAAGAATGAAAATACATAATTCACATGAAAATGTATGGAACTAGAGAGCATTGTGTTGAGTGAAATAAAACAGACTCAAAAATTCAAGGGTTTAATGTTTTATCTCATATGTAGAAACCAGAGAGAAAGAAAAGGAAGAAAAGGGATCTCATGGAAATAGAAAGAGACCAATAGGATAGAGGCCAAGGGGAGAGGAGGGCAAAGGGAGATGATGAGGAATGAAATTGATCAAATTATGTGCATGTACAAATATGTCACAACAAATCTCATTTTTATGTATAATCATCATGCACCGATAAATTGAAAAAATAAATAAACAGAAATAAATTTAATTCTTTCATTTTGGTCACACATACTATATAAAGTTATTAAAATTTTTGCCTATCATGGAGCTAATTTGTTAGTAGAAGGATTAGTGAGGGGCTCTTACCTCGGCTTTAAGATTCTTTTTCACCTTCACAGTGTAGTCCAGGCTTTCAAGCAGCCCCTTCATTTCCGTGATGTCACATTCAGCCCCACTCCTCACAGTAGTATACTCAAACTCTATATTGCATATAATGAGCGCCTGACGAGTGCGATTATTTTTCTCCATTATTGGATAGATCTGTATGAAATGGATATATAGCAAATTTGATTTAGCTGAGCCCTTTTAAGTACCCATACTCCTATGAGCATACATTATTAGGTCTCATTTAGCTCCTTTCTCCCCTAAATTCTAAAGAAGATACATCTTCATCTCTCAAGGTTCTAGATCCAGAATCAGGACACATCTGGAATGGTTACACAAGAATCTTGAGGAAACTAGAATTATTCCTACATTCTCCTCCTCCTCTTTCTGTTCATCCAGTAAATCTTTCTTAGTATTCAAGGTTCTGATCAAATTTCATAAAATCTAAGATATATTTGCCATTGACTCCAGTAAAAAAGAAAAAAAAATTGAATGAAACAAATATCTTTTGGCAACTGCATTATTTTGACATTACTTTTAACACGTCAGCTTAAAATCCTTTAGAAGCTTTAATGATTTTTTAATGTTTTTAAAAAAATATCCTGCAAGTCTAGGCTTCCCAACTAGAGTACAAATAATAAATACTCAGTCATGTTATCTGATAAATATTTTGCTTCTATGTGCACAGCTGAAATTTCATAACTGCAAAATATGAGAGTGAATAAATCAACAATATGACTCATATGACTTTTACTATGCAGAGAACTGGACTTTAACTGAACCAATATGATCTTGTCCTTGCTCCAAATCATCTATGATAAAGGTAACTGTCCCACCTCCCTGAAGTTGGTGTTATATCTTAGTGAGAGCAATTGCTTATTTCTCCTCTTTTTCATGCACAGATCACAGTACCTTTTTGGTGTTTTCATTATGCAGTCTCTGGAATTGCTCAGGAGAACAAAGCTTGAGGGTATTAGTTGATTCTGCTGGCTCAACTGCTCTGGACTTAGTTCCTGAATAAGCTGTAGGATGCATTACATTATATAAATTTTCATTTCTGCCTCTTTGACCCTATTTATCACCTGATAAATTTGAGAGAGTGGGAAATCCTAAGAAGAATTTTAAATAACTAAAGACCATACTCACATCTAACCACAGGTATATGGAGATGTATTGTGACTGGGGAAGAAGAGAGAAATTTTTGATAAAGAAAACTGATCCATTAAAAAAATGCAAGAACAGATTCTCATAATTCTGAGGGAAATACCTCCAAGTTTTCAAGTCAAATTTGGCCTTTTCACATTCTGCAAAAAACAATGATTTTCCCAGTGGTTTTACTTTATGGTTTTTACTCATTCACGTAGACTTCTGTGGTCTCTGAGCAAGAACATTATAAGTAAATATTTATCAGTGTGCTTTCCAATGGATATACTATGTGAATTGCATGTGCAATTTAAAATTTTCTACTATCTGTATTAACAAAGTAAAAATAAACAGGGAAATCAATTTTAATAGTATGTTTTCTATGTCCAAAATAGTGTGTAGTATGTTCAAAAAATTATTATTTCAAGCTTTGTAACTAGATACAATTCAATGTCACATGTGGCTAGTGACTACCATATTGGATAGTATAATATCCCATATTGGATGAGTAGTTTGAACTCTGGAAGATCAAGTCTGTCACTGTGACTTGTGTCTCAGAACTTTTGAACTCTAGCAATTCTCTTTATTCAATATGGGTAAAATGCTTTCAAAAAGTTATGCAATTTGGGACATTTTAAAGGGGTTTCYTTAGTCATAGTTGTAATTCACAGAAATGTGTAAGCATTGAAAAAGTCTAAACTTTGGCACTTACATAATAATCATAACTAACAATTGTTACATGCTTATCTTTCATTTGTTTATGCATCTTACATTAATTATTTGTTTCCTGTGTGTCAAGAACTCTACTTATTGCTGTTACTCATTGAAAAAGAAATCAGGTATGTCCTAGTGGGAAAAACTTGATAGACATAGTCTTGTCTACTGAGATGGAAAGGGAATATAAATGGAACAGATTTAATTAGGGGATCAAGCCTTTAATTTAAAATATGTTACTTCTATGAAATCAATGGAACATTTGAGCAGAAATGTTGAATATGCAGTTAGAGCTAAATGAGTTTGGAGTTTCTGGAGAAAATTTTGGACAAGAGCTAATATTTGGGGAATTATCATGTGTCTGTCAGTAGATGTTCCTAGCCTTACAAAGTTATATAAAGAAGTAGTATATTATCCCATCTAACAGATACTAAGCCTGATATCTGAAGAGGTGGAAAAACTTATACAAAATTACCTAATTTACAAGGTGACGGAATCTTATTGTAGATTTCGCTTTATATAATGTTTCTAATAGTGAACTATTTCTATGAACAGCCTAAACATAACAATAGCTTTTTAGTGATTTAGAAACTGGATCTCACCAGAGAAAAGGCAAATCGGCCTATGAAAAGACAATGATTGCTTTTGTGAAAACTACATTCATGATGAAATGATAGGAGGATCATAGAGATTCTGCATGGGCCCAAGGTTTGAAAAATTCCGGAAATTTTGAGATAGTTTTGTCAATGATTCCAGTCTTACCTTCTGTATCTTTGGCCTTTTTGTCCGCCTTAAGAAAACTCTGGATAACCAAGGGAACTGCCTCTTGGGGCTTCTGTCGTATGAAGTCCACAAAAATCCAGGCCTTGTCTCTAGGTGTGGCATTATTAAATTTTTTCTTTTCATCTTCTGGTAATTTAATCACATCTTTTTTCACCAAATTGTCCAAAAAACCAGTGATGGCTTTTTTGCCCTCGATTTCCAACCTCCTAAGTCGTTCTATTTCTTGTTTTTTTTCTGTCAGAAATAGAAAAAATCCTTCAACTGTAGGCTAGGCTTTAAGAGTTTTACTCTCACCTTAGACACAGCCTTAACATAAAATGCAATCACCATCTCCAAAACAAACTGCTCACCTCTTCATTGTACCCATGGACATCTCACACCTCCTTGAATTTGTAACAAACTATAGTGATTCCTTGTTACCTAAGTGTTGGTCTTTCTCTCTTTCTTTTCTTTTTCTTTTTCTTTTTTTTTTTTTTTTTTTTGGTTGGTTTGTTTTTTAAAGAGTTTCTTTTCTCCCAAATGTGGCATTGGGCCAAATGTTATGTCATCCACTGTTCTCATATTCTTGTTCTTTTATTTACAGCCTATGGTAGTCATGATGCTCCTCCTGGGATATGTGATCTCAGGAAACTCCATGCCTTTGTCTAGGCAATTAATTCCTCCCACTAGAGCATGGGCTTTTCCCGCTCCTCTGTATTGAGTGTCTTTGGTCAAGTGCTATCTTGGAATGCACATCATTTTATACAGTTGCTATACTCACACCTCAGAGCCTAAAAATATTGTAAAAGACTTCATATGCTTACTGAATATATAAATTAATGAACAAATAAAGGAATGCCCTTAAAGTTCTAATTCTTTAAAATTTTATTCTCAACCAAAAATCAGAATTGAGTCTATGATGACAACCTTCCATTATGGTAAATTATTTGTCACTGGGTTACTGTATCACTACTTCTTAGGACAATTTAAAATTTTATAGAGGAAAAGGATACAGATATCAAAGTATTAAATGAATCCTTTATTTTAATATTATCAATGGAAATTGGGAAGTTTGTAAATAGGAAGGCAGGATACCTGATCAGTTCTCAGTTAACTTTATAAATATAGTTGTTAAATCTTTCTAGATGTCAGGATGACTTTGACACAAAATGACATTATTTAAAGAAGATATCAAGACATTGAACAAGAACTTCGGCCTAGAAGCACCAGCCACATCATTCATACTATCTTGACTTATATTTTCAGCAAATGTTTATTGAGTAATTATTATGAGAAAGGCATATAGAAGCTTAAAACCATAAAAAGTTTCCTAATATCAATTAATTTAATAAAAAATGAAATCTCATGCACTAGTTATGACTAGTTATGAAAATAATACATAGCAAACCAACATATATCAGCATTATTTCTAAGTCATCGCATTACGTTGTTTACAAATATCAATTGAAACCAGGATTCTCACACTAAACTAACTGATTAGTTATCACATACCTTTTTTAAATAATAAAGTGATAAATTATAAAATATATGGAATTTAAGAAATGACTTTACACTAAGTACACAAATTGGTGTTCAAATTACATTCTTATTCCATGTTCTCTGTAGTTAAATATCACACAGTTTCAGCAACAGTAGTCAAAATTTATTAAGCACACATCATGCCAAGTGCTTGACATAAATCTCACTAAAATATAATAAAAACTATCTCAAAGGTATATTACTATATCGTATCTCATACACAGAGTCATGTGATAAGAATATAGGGTAACTAGTAACTGAGAAGCAAGAATTAAAACCAAGGGTTTTAGAATTTAGAGGCTCTAGTCTTGAATTATCAAGTGACATTACTTGAACTTAGTGAAAATTCCCTTAGGGAAAAACAAATGAATCACTTCAGTGACTCAGAAAAGATGCATAAATTCTAGCTGGTGAGATTATTGAGGCTCCATAGAAGAGGTGGCAGAAAAACACTGGTCTTGTAATAGAGAACATGAGTGTTGTAGAGTTTTTGAAGGGTTGAAAACAGTACTTAGGTTAGTGTGTGCAGTATCCACCCTGTCTAAGGTCTGGGCTTCTGTTTGTTTATTTGTGTGCAAAAGAAATAGTGAAGTATTGACTAAATGAATGATATGTAAAGTAACATGGTAAGCAATAAGAGATTTACAAAAGAATAAGGGCCTGAATAAAAGCTGTCAACATCATATTCAATAATCAAAAGTTGAAGTTTTTTAATAAAATTGGGAACAGAGAAAATATGCTACCCTTGCTACTTTTATTCAACATAGTACTGGAAATCCTAACAGGAACAACTGGGCAAGAGAAAAAAATAAAAGGCATACCTATTGGAAAGGAAGAAGTTAAAATGCCCCTGTCTGTAGACCACATGATTTTATAGATAGAAAATCCTAAAAAGTCCACCATAAATCTATTAGAACAAATAAGTAAATTCAGCAAAGTTTCAGTATGCAAAATCAACACACAAAAATGAGTAGCCTTTCTGGCCACTTACAACAAAATATCTGAAAAATAAGTTAAGAAGGTAGTTTTACTTAAAATAGCTGCAAAAATAGATAAATAAAATTCTAGAGAATAAATTTAAACAAGGAGGTGAAAACATATGCACTGAAAACTATAAGTCCCTGATGAAAGAAATGGAATGATACATGTAAATAGAATTATATCCTATGTTCATGAGTTGGAAGAATTAATATTGTTATAATGTTCATAATACCTAATGTAACCTAAATATTCAATGCAATGCCTTTAAAAGTTGCAATGACATTTTTATAAAAATAGAAAAACCATGCTAAAATTCAAGTGAACCCCCCACACACACACATACACACAAATAGCAAAGACACTCTTAAGAAAATAAAGTTGAAGTCAATGTCCTGATTTCAAAATAGACCACAAAACTGGAGTAATCAAAACAGCATGGTACTGACATTAAAACAAAGACATGGACCAATGAACCAGATAGAAAGCATAGAAATAAACCCAAGTACTTATAGTCATTTGATTTTCAACGTAAGCGCCAAGAACACAGAGAGGGGAAAAGGTACTCTCTTCAATAAAAGGTTTTGGGGAAAACTGGATAGCCATATACAGAATAAAATTAGATCCTTATTTTACGCCATATACAAAAATTAACTCAAAAAGAAGTTAAAGATCTACACTTAAAACCAGAAATTGTAAAACTTCTAGAAGACAGAAATAAAGTTCCATTGCTTTTTTATATACTTTTGTTACCTGTGCTTCTAGGGTCATATCCATCATATATGATGATATCAAACTAGAAAGCTTTTCTCTTTATAGAGAAAGGGAAACAACAGAGTGAAGACATGACCTACAGAATGGGAGAAAATATTTGCAAATGGTACATCTGGTCAGGGGTTCATATCCAAAATATGTCAAAAAACAATAATAACAACAAGAAAAACCCTCAAATCACATAAAACCAAGACAAAAAAATGATTTTTAAATGGATGAAGGACTTGAATAGAAAGTTGTCAAAAATGGACAAACAAATTACCCACAGGTATTTGAAAAAGTGTTCAACATCTGTAATCATCAGGGAAATGCAAGTTAAAGCCTCTATGAGACATCACTTCAATATCTAATCAAATGGCTACTATCAAAAAGATACAAATTCGATGTTGCAGAAAATATGTAGAAAAGGAACCCCTTGGACACTGTTGATGGGAATGTAAAATTAATATAACCACTATGGAACAGAATATGGGGTTTCCTGAAAAATACTAAGTAGAACTACTGTATGATCTAACAAGTCTACTACTGGGAATATATCAAAACATATGAAATTAGTTTGTTGAATGTTTTTGCACTTATAATATTTATTGCAGCAGTAGTCACAACAGCCAAGAAACTGAATCAATGTCAATATCTGTGGACAGAAAAACAGATAAGAAAAATATGGTATCTATACACAATGGAATACTATTCAGTCATTAACAAAGGAAATTCTGTCATTTGTGAAAACATGGACAAAATTGAAAGATATTATGTTAAGTGAAATGAGGTAGGCCAGGCACAGAAAGCTAAATTCCACATGATCTCACTTATACACAGAATCTAAAAAAGTAAAACTCATAGAAATGGAGACTAGAAAGTGCTTACAAGAAGGAAGTTAGTTTGGAAGATATTAGTCAAAGGAATCCAAATTATAATTATGTAAGAGAAACAAGCTCAAGAGATCTATCGGGCAACATGATGATTATAGTTAATAGTGATGTACTGTATCATTTAAATTTTTTCACAGAGAAAATTTAAAGTGTCCTCACACAAAATCTGATAAACATAGGAGTCAATACATATGTTGTTTATCTCTGTTTAGGCATTCTACAGTGTATATGTATTTTGAAACATAATAAGCATATTTAATTTTATTTTGCCAGCTAAAATAAATAAATACATAAATTATAATTAACATGATAAAGAGGTTCGGATTATTTATGTTATAATTTACATAATCTTATTGAACCAATTGTAGATTTTAAAGAGTAGATTAATGGCTCTCACATGTATAGAGTCAGCCTAGACATGGAACCCAGGACTGAGTACCATTTGTCTGAGAGTCAATGTGATATATCTTCCCACAAACTCATTAAATTAACTTTTAAAAGTGAACCTACTTTAATTCCCTTCTTTCATTTCCTTACTACTAAATAATATCTAACTTCCAATATATGAAATTATCAAAACCTGGCGCTGTACACATCTTTTACCTTATTTATAGCTTATTTTCTATCACCGTTCATATACTGATTTCATCTGCTAAATATGTGCAAAATTCTAACTGTTCAATTCTCCTCTTCAGACCAACATCTTTCTCTTCTTAATTACCCCAAGAGCCTTTATATCCTTTTTATCCCCCTCTTATCTATTTTTCACAAGGAAGCAGAGTGAGTATCCCACTGTTAAGAGATCATCAAACCTCTCAATTTAACCTAATTTAGGTGTCATCATTCAGCCTCATTTTCTGATCCTATCTTCACCTTGCTCACTACCTTTGAAATATTCTGCCCTTCTTTTTTTTTTCTAGAAAACCTCTGCTACTGGATCCCTTCATTTTCAATCCCCTACCCCTTCATTTCTTCCTGTCCTCCCATCATCTCTTTTTATCCTCCATATCTCGGATGTGACAGCACTTTCTTAGGGGAATGCTCCTTGATGCTTCCTAGACAAAAATGTCAAATGTATGAGATCCTAGGGTGGCTTGTTTCTCCCAAAGTTAGCATTATTTTCCATATGAGTGTGGTTCCAAACCTACTTATCACTATCCCACCATCATATTTCATGCTTGCTCCGTGAGTACAGGTTCTGTGAGATAGGTCTACATCATTGGCATTCAGAGGGCATACAGTAATTTTCTACTGAATCACTGGTCACTGAATATGGTAAAAAGATACAAAATTTAGCCATGACCTGACTTAGAGAATATTTAACAGCAAGCTAAGTAAATTTGATACATTTGACAGGTAATAAGAGCACACTGGAAATTTTCAAGTGATGGTAGTTACATTTATTCTTCTACTCATTCAGGGATATGGAATGGGTGTCTACCTATACAAACATTCTGCTAAGGTTGGAGATACCATTTTGGAAAGATATTCTTACATATCAAGGCTTCCATCAAAATGGAGAGATGGATGTGCAAGTAAGTAAATACAAACACTAATACTTTAAGTAACAGGCGGGCGTATGAATAAAAAAGCAGAGGGTGGGAGGGGACTGTAACCCATGGTAGAGGACAGCTGCCCTGAGGAGTAAGGGCTTGGAACTGAGACCTGAAAGAGGAAAGCTACACCTTTGAGAACCTGGGAGCTTGTCTTCTGGCAGGGAGCAACGTGGGCATAAACAGAAAGGCTCAAGAGATCTGATGTAATCTGGAAGCTGGGAGAGCTGTGCATTAGAAGGAATACTACGGTAAGCGGAAATGTATAGAAAAAAACTGAAATGGGAGAATTCAGGTGCAAGCAGCAATTTAGGGACTTTTGCAGAAAATTAAGGTAATTTCAGTATCTCAGGATCCTCATTTTGAGAATCTGATCTACCTAGGATCACTCTGCTCAGTAAACATTTGACCTAAGGCAAATTACATAATTCATCTCTAAGTATCTTCTTCAGCTACAAAATGGCAATAATATAGATCTAATTACGTAGTTTTAAATCTTTAATTAAAAAGCATAAAATAGCTACCATATAGATTGTTTCCAAAAAATCAGTTGTTATTTATTATTGTGGTAGTAATTGCCAAATTGGGGTTATAGTAATTATAAAAATGGAGGAAATAATTTAGAAGACAAAATTAATCAAGACCACAATTTTGGTCCTGATTCCTCAGGAATTTTAGTTAACAATGGCCAAAAAAACTATATGGTTTCTATTTATTGAGCCATTTCATATGGTTTTTTCCTAGTGCATTTCAATTTCTCATAACTTTTACCTAATGATGCCCTGATTCCAATCCAATAACCAGTGTATTAGACTTGCCTGGCCAAAGCCACAGCCATGGGCATGAATTTAACTTATTCCTTTCTAGAAAATTCCTTATTAAAGTAAGAAGATGACAAGGAAAGAAAATAATCAATTCTTATATTTTGGATCTTAATTTAAATTTTTTCAGCTAAGACACAAGATTTGGAAAGAATTATCCTACAGAGAGATTCAAAGAAGTAAAGAAACAACAGCAAAAATTTGTAAGTGTAGTGAATGCAGTATATACATTATGTTTCTATGCAGGAAGCTGAAATCATGCCTGAAGGGGATTAATGAAATCATGATTAACTTAATTGAGAAGGTGGAAAACTTGTCTGAAAAGTTCAGATAGATTTTAAAAGGCAATAAGTAGCCAGTGTGTGTTCCTAAGTTGGAAAATTGCAGAAATAGGTACATAGAATGTAAGAACTAAGCATTAACTAACTGATCATCTTTGCCAAAAGTGAAAATCTGCAGATGAACTTACACAAAACCAGCTACATGAGAATTATGTAGATTTCTGAAAGATTATATGTGCCTACAGTTTATTTAAGAATGAACTATGTGACTGGGCATGGTGGTACATGCCTCTACTCCCAGCAATTTAGGAGGCTGAGGCAGGAGGATTGCAAGTTCAAAGCCAGACTCAGCAATTATSGAGGCCCTAAGCAACTTAATGAGAACTTGTCTCAAAATTAAAAACAAACAAACAAACACAAAGTACTGGGGATGTGGCTCAGTGATTAAGTGCCACTGGGTTCAATTCCTGGTTAAAAAAAAAAAAAAAAAAAGAATGAGCTATGCAGGGTGAGGGTAACGGGGTAACATGAGAAAAATGACAAAACATTGTCCTTTAGGCTGGCATCTATGACATGTCTCATGTCTTTCTCTTTTTTCTTTTCTATGTCCATGGTCCCCAAACCTTCTCCTCGCCCATTTTTCTCCTCTGATTTCTCAGCATTTCTATTTCTGATCATTGAAAGCACAAATCCTGAATTTTTAAAATGACTGTAGATTATTAAGATTTACAAGTGTAATACCTAAATATTAGAAATGTAGATATAAAGTTTAGAAATGGCTGATCTAGTCCAACCTCTTCATTTTCAAATGAGGAGAATAAAGCCAAAGAAGTGATATGATGTGATTGAATACTAGCTGCCCCAGTACCTAATGACTCCTGACTTAAGCCTTTCCTTTCTGGGTCTGAGACAGGCAACCTGGGAATCATGTGCAGGATGGACTGATTGGAGGGTAAGTCCTGGAGACRGGGACACTAGCTGAAAAACTGTGATAGAAATCCAAGACATCCAGAGTTTTCAGTACGAGAACCAGAAAAATGGGGAGAAAAAATGGAGCCACTTTACACTGAACAAGGATATAATTCAACATAAGAAACAGTAAAGGGGCAGGAACCGAAAGCCTCTCAGATCTGTTTCTGGAAAGATTGTTTATGAACTGATGACTAATGCAAAGTCTATAGGAAGCAGAAAAAAAAATTCAGAGTCCATTTAGAAACCTTGAGAATTGTCCAACTCTCAAGCCTTACTCTGTCTTTACCTCCCCCTTGATCATCAGAAACTGAAGGAGAGGAATAAACTTCTGTCTGACTCAAAGATACCTGGAGACCACACTCAGTGTCTCTAAATCCACAACCAGAGTCCAGTGGCACACAAGTGATAAGGGGAAGAACCCAGCTTGTACCCAGCTGGTCTGCTTCCGTTCTGTTACTTCTGCCTGTCACAGAACAATGAATATAGTGTTTTCTAAGATCCAAGTCCCTAGGTCCTCGTCAGGAGGGTACCCCACTCACCAGCCATGGAGGACAGCCTTGGTCCCTTCCTTCTCCAGTGGAGAGAGCACCAGACTAGAAAACGAAAGAAAGTCACCCAGCATTTCTTTCGTTTAGAGGGCGGGACATCTATTTATTGATTTCGAAACTGCTGCTGGGAATTCTTGTTTCCTTGTCGGGAAGTCCCCTGTAGTTTCCAAAATAGCCTCATCGTTTTGAACTACAATCTTAGTCCTGAACTCTAGTTCTTTTCTTTGTAAAGGAGAAAAATAAAGTGGACATGACAAAATATCATCCTATAAGTTGACAGCTGCGTTGTGTTTTCTTTGTTTTTTCTTTTCTCTGTGCACAGCCCCCACACCTGCTCTCAGTCCTTCCTTCTCTGCTCTCAGTATTTCTACCTCTGCTCACTAAAAGCAAACATCCTGAAGGATTGACACCTAACTAATGTCCTTTCATTTCCAGATATCATTAACCATGTTGCTTCTGTTTCCTCTTTAGACTGTGTTACTCATGACAGTATCTTCTTCTCTGTCTCCCTGTTTTTTTCAATCTTTACTGGAAATTGTTCTGAAGTAACCCTTTTCTTCTCTCCCCAATATGCTTTTCTTGAACTGCCTAAGACTGCCCTGACATTTAATTTTTATTGAGGGTAGCTGTTCTCTGCGTTTTGAAATCTTCTGTCCAAAGGCAGAAGAGGTCTCAGGCTGTAGAAGGAACACCTGAATGTACAAGACAGGTCTGTCTGAAGGAACAATTAATGACAACAAGGGAAAGGGCTGGGATGTATTCAACTTTGAAGGTTTTTCAAAAGGTCAAAATTTACCTTTACTCTAAGGAGTTTAGAATTAGAAAGGGCTCCTTCTTCCACGCAGAAGTTATGTTTTTCCAGCCCTTCCCAAACTGAACTTTACTGAGTGAATGATTCACTTGAAGTTCATTTTCACTGGACCATAATGAGAAATCATACCCTAGTGTTTGTTCATAGTGTCATATATGTCTCCTGCTTGTTTCATGTCTGTTGACTGTTTTATCTTCTCAAGGAGACTGTAACTTACTAGGGACCTAAGGTTAAATAAAAATGTACTTTGTGCCTCAAATTTCTTAACAAAGAATAGAAATAAGTAGTTTTGGTAATAACTCTGTCAACAGTGTATACATCAGATTTTGGGATAAGTTGCTTTTACTGCTGCTGTCTCAATTCTGTCTTCTGTATGCCTCTCCTGATCAACCCTAGATTTTTTGAAGTTAGGTACCCATTGTTACTTTACCTACTTTGTATCTTCATCACTAATGCAGAAAGCCAAGCAAATATATATTATAAGAAAGAATGGTGCTATTAGCCAGTGCAGCTGTTATAGGTCAAATCAAGACAAGAAATTTGATACCTGCTCTAAGTTCCACCTCCTGTCTTTCCAGCATAGAAAAATCAAAACAAAAGCAGGACAAACTTTTTTTTTCTCTCAGATTTATTAGCTTGTTTAAAGAAATGTTTATTTTTAATAGACACGACTCCAAAAACAGGTACAGAAAGACAAAACTGGCTTCCTAGGGAAAAGAAAATAACACAGTATAAGAAAGTGTTCTGCTAAATAACATGCAAGTTATGATGTCACTCTACCCATGAGTCCTCACTTACCAAAGGATAGTGCCCAGATGCTATGCTTAAATACTGTGCTTAAATATTGTGTCATATGGAGGTGAAGAAAGCACATCCAAAAGTGAGCTTTTGTAATCATATGACTACCTTTTGATTGATAGCAGCTGACCCTGAGAAAGGAATATCTGACTCTGTAGAACCTTCCTGAACGGAAAAAGAAAAGACCTCCCTTCGGTGTCTCCCCATTTATAAAACCAGACCTAGAAGCCTTGGCTAGCACGGGACTTCAGAATCCACCCCCCAACACGCATATGCATAAACATAAACAGATAATGTTACAGCTTACTTATTTTAATGTCCTGGGAAGAGGTAGAAACATCTTGTCAAAGTCACCCTTTCAGTGGTGGGCATCTGTGCCCTACCCTCTGGTAGCTCAAATGAAAATCGAACCTAAAAGAAAAGGGAAACTCTGTAGACTTTTTTTTTTTTTTCCTTAGTGGAGAATCTTGAATTAAGCTGGAAAAACTGCAATGGAAAAACTGTAAGATAAATGATATAAACCAAAAAAAAAAATTTGCAAATTAGAGTTTACTGACTTTGTCTACTCAGGGTGGAATGAAAGTCAAAATACATGATTGTTTTATAGGGATTGTGGACCATAACAGATTAGATCTGGCTTTCAGGTATACCCACACACCAAAGAACCTCATAGAGTTTCTTTGGGGGGGAAAATGAAATTATTGGAAGATAAATATGTCCAGAGATTCCATGTGGAAGAGCCAACTCCAGGGACTAGAGTGGAAGAAGCAACTGGAGCCCTACCTTTCGAAAAATTTCCTCCAGATCACAGGACCAGGCATATTCTTGAATATTTTTGATGAGTTTCATAATAAAAAGAGAGCCCAGTGTGGGATGCCTCCAAGAAACATTATCTGTTTAAAAAAATCACATTCCAAATCTCATTACAGGATTTTGATTAGATATAGGGAAGTAGCTCTAGTATTACCACTCCCCTTGGGGCATGCTATTGAGTTGGTTCTGTTTTCTTACACACCATTTGCCAATTTTTTAACATAAAGTTCCTGGTTATATTTTTACCAATACTCAATAAAATGCTGTATAGAATGCACATAGTGGGGCATAATCCCTGATTTTAAGTAGCTGAAAATCTAACAGAAAGAGAGGAAAAGACCGAATTGAGCAGAGAAGATTGATTGGTTCTTGAAGATTGAGTGTGCATTTCAGAGGTGCTACTTAATGACTCTGATTTAAGTTATTCACTTTGAAATGCACAGCCTCAACTATAAAGTGGAGCATAATAATTTCTGATACAAAGAGATATTTGAGGAATAGATATAACACGTCATGAATGTCTGAGAGGTTATAGGATATATAATGGAAAATAACAGAATGAAAACAGTACCAGCACAATGAAAATACAAACTAGAATGGGTTCAAGAGGGAAAAATCACATCCTGTGGGAGGACAAAAGGTCTTTCAGGGTTAAGAATTTCTAAAGAGGAACAACATTAAATGTGTAACAGGAGACACAGAGAAGTAATGAGAGATATAAAAAATTACTCAAAGGAATGCATGCATAAGAGAAAAAGCCATAGTAACAAGTACGCATAAAATTGTGGCTATATTCTCTGACCAAATCCTTTAGCCACTATTCATGATAAAATGCACATTTATAGTTAAAATTCTTTTTAAAAGCACAACTGRTTTATCTTGTTCTCTCCAGTTAAAGGAAATGGATAGGAGAGAGTCGAGGCAGGTATCACTGCCAAGTCTTTTATAAAATTAAGGGAGTAGATGGACACTTTTCTTCAGGAAAACATCATGATGTGTTGGGATTTATGCTGGGGAACATGGAACTAGGTTCTGTAGTTAAGCTGAAGATAACCAAAATAGGCGTTTTCAGGAGTCATCTGGAAAAGAGGAGTGAGAGAAGCAAATAAAAGAAGGAGACAGAAATCAACAAAAAGGTGTCAAGAAGCCCAGAGCCTGCAAAGGATTATATGATTACCAGAGGTAAATTTCTTGTGGAAGGCTGGGATCAAAGGATTTCAGAGGACTACTACATATAATACTGAAATCTCCTTATTACTTAAGCTAAACATGTATGGGATTTTTGCATGGCATTATTGTTTTGWTTAAAAAAATAACTGAGTTCCGTATCAAGACATGGTTAGCACAATACAGAACCAGCTATCTCTAGAGGGATGGCTCTCATTACAGAAAAAATCTATAAACTAAGCTCTTTGAGCAGAAGCAGGACCTTAGGATCAGAGGTGACTAAGGGAATGTAAGTCCYAGAAAGTTGCAAAATTCAGTAGTTAAAAGAACTCAATGATTTCTATTTAATCCTTAATAAGAGAATGCATATGAGTTACATTATAGAAGAAACATCCTTAATAACAAGTCATTAAATGTGTTTTACTCTGTGGCATGCTCAATATTTCACATATATTATCTTTTTTAATTTTAGAATAGTGATATTATATTTACATGTAAAGGTAAGGAATTTTAAAAGGAACCCCAGAGAAGCTAAATAAATAGACCTAATTTACCAAGTACTAAATAGAAGGGTTAGAATATAGTCACAATACTGTTCCACAGCTTACACTTGGAATCATTTGATATGTTCTGTTTTATACACTGCTTACTTCTAGTAAAAACTCAGTTTAGTTTAGGGTCCAGTTATGCTTTGTCTACCTTTTTGTCCCCATTATTTTTCTATAAATATATAATGTCTAGGCAGTTGGACTCTTGATGGTGCCAACATTGTGGACCTTTTTCTATGTGAAATTGGATTTCAATTTTACTTCAGTATAAATATACTTTTACTTAATTTTCTGTTATCCCTTACAATTTCAGGAAGAAATGTTTCCATGGGAGGATTTACTTATTATTACTTCAGTGAAATATATATATTCATTTTGTCTCTTTGGTGAGGGAAACTGAAAGTGTTACTGGATGAAACCTAAAACTGGTCTTCAAAATCCTTGTCTAAAGTTAAATACAGGTAACTATCCTCTGACAGGTGACTGAATTCTTTATTAGAAACCTCCCCACCCCACTGAAGGTATCCTGCACATAAACCCATTACCTGGTGTTGAAGAGCAGAAAGCAATAAAATCCTTCTCTACGTGGGCTTTCTTAATCCCATCGTCTTCAAGGTCTTCTGAATCCAGTAAGAATTTGCCTTCAGTGTCTCTTGCTGAATCTTTTAACCACACCACCCCTTGATTCTCTGGAAAGACAAAGTTTCGCTAGCTGCTTATTACCAACTGCCAAGAGAACTACCTCCTCTAAACCCCTGTTGAACCATATTCATTCACTTATTTGTCTTTTATTCACATACACATACATGCATTCATCTCAAGAGCTACCTTTCCAATAATTCTTTCTTTTTTTCAATTCATGCATTATTATTATACACAATAGTGGAATTTATTGTGACATATTCACATGTAAGATCTTCTC